GCAGTGAAAGACAGTCCTGTACAGTCCTTGCTTGATGTAGTTAGCTCTTTGCGCAATTGCAATGTTTGAAATCTCGTCCGAATATTCCTTTCATGTTATTTCCGTCATGGCAATCTCGTCCAACCTCTATTTTCCCTACTTTTGAGGAGCCATATTTTTCTAGGAATCGACGAATTCNCGGACGAGTTTTACCGGCATTGTAGAGGCTGCACCGATCACAAGGGAACCCATGTAGGAAGTTCAAACAACCTTTCATGACCCTAGCGGCAGTGAAAGACAGTCCTGTACAGTCCTTGCTTGATGTAGTTAGCTCTTTGCGCAATTGCAATGTTTGAAATCTCGTCCGAATATTCCTTTCATGTTATTTCCGTCATGGCAATCTCGTCCAACCTCTATTTTCCCTACTTTTGAGGAGCCATATTTTTCTAGGAATCGACGAATTCCCTCGCTTTCTTCACTACCAATGAACTATTCCCAATCCATACTCCTGCTTTTCGAATAAAAACGGGTATCTCAAAATTATCGTGAACTGAGCCTTTAACTAGAGTTATCGTTACGATTGAGGTAAACCGGAAAAGATGAATTTCCGTCGTTCAGTTCCCATGTGGGATGCGCCACGCTTTCGACAGCCCTTCAGACTCGTAGAAGAGCCTAAATATCTAGAGTTTGAATGCGTTTTCGACCTTTACGTTGTTCTATAATATGTAAGGGAGCGTCATGTACAATTCAGGGTTTTCGTCCTTCCTGGCGATAAAAAGTAAAGGATGAAGTTTGTGGTGTTGGTTAATTCCGTCTGAGGGATGCGCCTCCGCACTCGACTTCCATTCAGAATCCTAGTAGCGTAATGAGTGCGCATGTGGCCTATACAATGATCTACGGAGCCCAACCGGTGTACAAGTCACTGCTTTTATCCTCCCGAACGAGTGTGGTACCAATTAACCGACCCCGGAGGAAGAGAACGCTTGGTTGGCCTAGGGGGATATCGATCCGAGATTCGTACCCCAGGCCGTGCATGTGAGATAGTGCTCCACTTCCCATTACACCACCTCCGCTCGCAGAATTATAACTTTATCCAGACGATACATCACTTTATTAACCTGGAATGATAAAGAGAAATTGGATCCCACCATGCATTGATGAAATGGCAACTCGGTTTGAAGTAGGATAGTTCTGAGCGATGCCGCGATGCAACAAAGTTTATCAACTTTTGTGAGTCTCAGCGATTTTTCTTTCTGACTTATAATCACCAGGAACCCACCAACATTGAAGATTTCGCTGCCTCGCCTCACGTGTTATTCCGTTCCAAAACTAAGTTTCAAAATCAAAGCAGACGCCTTTTGGACATGTCTCTGATCTGCCGACTATGCGTATAGGTCACTCCCTAACCCGTTCCCCTTGATATCCGGAGAGTAATGCCAGATTTTATGGGATTGAAATGTGAAGGCGTGGAGCTGATGTAGTGGCCCGGTGGCGCATTATCTTACACGCAAGATTTGGTGAACGAAGCCTGGATCTATTCTCTCCCAAGCCAACCAACCTTTCCATATCTCTCGGATCACCTAATTAGTACCGGTTGGTCTGGGAGCATAGACTTGTTTATCGGGTGGATACCGCAAGTCATTGTATAGTGCCACTTATGCATTCAAAACGTCACTACGATTCTGTATTGAAGTTGAATGTGGGGGCGCATCCCAAAAAAGGGATTGATCAATGCGGAACACTTTATACCTTATCCTCTTATGAAACGTAGAAGACTACGTTTTCTTAGGTACCTATTAGGACTTTCACCCTTTTATTTGTAGTTTGCTATTTGTCACCTACAATTAGCTTCATCTAATCACTATAGTGAAACTTGAGTGCAGGAAGATTTGCCCTCTGTCTTCGCATTAGTACGACTACGCAAATTCGGATTCTGCCCGTATCAGGTCTTCCGTCTCTAACGTGAACACTAAGTAGCCTTCCCAGTCATTAGTTCGTACTCCCTTGAGACCCCCTTCCTGCCTTCGCTATTGGATCTTCTTCTACTGTTAGATCTTCTTCTTCAATGTGAGCTTGAAGGCACAGTTCCGATAATTTTGAGGTACCCTTTTTCGATAGAAAACTGGAGGTGTTGATGTAGAGGAGTTCACCGGTGCGAAGAAAGCCTAGCTCAAGGATAATCAAACGTAAAGGAAATGGAGATTGTACGAGATCATCGTGACGGTTATGGCATGTAAGGGGTGTCTGGACGAGATTTAACTTGCTCCCATTTTTCAACGAGATGATTACATCAAGCCGAAATTGTCCGAAACTGCCTTTCATTCTCGGCAAATTGTTTGAACTTCCTACAAGGAAGTCTCTTGAGATAGTGCAATCTCTACAAAGCCGAAGAAACTCGTCCACGATGGGTATGGCATTCACACAATACAATCTCCGGCCCTTATTGTGCCCTATCCATGACCTTTTTCGACCATATGACGGCAGGTATGGTATAAGGGGAAGCCTCGAATTCATACTATGGGATAATCTCGGAAACCATTTTTGTCGTGAATTTTGCCTTCAAGTAATGTCAGCGGAGGACGATTCTACCAAAACAATTCGTTTCCTACACGTATAGCCAGATTCCTTACCTACATCAATCGCCTTTACGATGAATTCGTAAAAAGGAACGGGGAAAAGACAACTGCCATTTTACCCTCTATCTGCCCTTTGAGGCGTGCTCAGCTCGATTTCTTCACGATTCCATAGTATATCATTATTGCAATTATTACAACGTATAATTATTATTCCCCCGAGATGCTCATTAGCGTCGGATGCCAACGCGCTGAGGCGTTTCTCGGGAAGCTTTGAATTATTGTGAAAAGCTTAAGGGTTGGCGATGTTAATCTAATAAATATTAATGAAGATCAACGACGGCACAAGCTAAGAGCAGCTTAACCGTGACAGACGGCAGAATTGTGAGGAAAGCCTGCAGAGAAATTCCCACACTCACGCAGAGGAATTAAGAATTTGCATTTTTCACAACGAAAATAAGCTTATGGCTTATTCGGCTTCTCATTAAATTGGACTTTCTATTAGCCTCGTTATAACTCGGAACAATTTCTCTTGAAAATTTTTCTTGTTGTCAGTAGGTCTGTTTATAGTTATAACCTTTCCACGCCCTGAGTCTTTCACACACACGCGTCGCACACGCACCGCGTGCTGGTTGGGCAGCTCTGAATTTTCGATGCATCTTCTCAGTAGATTGATCAAGTCACATGTATTTGTAATCGTAAGGCGAAATGATTGGCCAAGCGGCTTTGTCAATTTAGACAAATTGTTAAAAATTACAAGTTGCTTTATGCGTTGCGTGTGGCGTGCTCAAAAATTATTTATAAGCTCAATCGAAATTTAATTATCAGTTATATTCGTCAATCGGAGTAATTTCACTCATAGTCATGACATATCATTAGTCAGTCTTCTGACTCCGATTTCTAAACCTTACGTGTAACCCTGGACCGGTCAGTGCACACGCGACGCGTACGCAGCGCATTCCTGTAGCGAAATCAGTCCTAGTGTATTTTCAAACAAAGTTATCCCCGGGCGAAACTTCCAATGTTTACCTGCTCGCATCGTATCAGCTATGTCGTTGACTATCTTTTTGACCATGTTTCTTCGTTTCGATTTCCGATTACAGCTCTGTGCGGTCGCCAGGCTTCCGTACGATTTGTTAATCTATAGTTTCCAGGAACTTTTTTTACTGCACACACATCAGCAAAAAGTCCTCAGTCTTGAGTAGGCACCGCTTTTGTGTGTGTATGTGTGCAGATGGCTTTCGCTCCGGCATAGTATGCAATGTTTATTGGTTTTTTACTCATTACGGCTAAAATCTGTACAGCCCACCTGAACGAGATGGCTTTGATCGAAGCCGGTGTGCAATTCAAGGGTAATTACAAGTTTTTACTCAAAACTTTTATGGCCATTCGTATTTTTTTGAATAAATAAGTAAATGAATAAATAGTCAAGTAATTCACCAAGTTGCGTTTCACTTCACTGATTTGGATCCGATTATTTCATTCCGTCCATTTTTATACTGGATTCTTTGAATAATTTGCTATCGCTGTAGAGTTTTACTCAGCCACTTTTTATAGGCGTTTTTTAACATTTGCAGTGATTTAATTATTTTCAAATTTTATTTTCTTCATTTAATTATCATTGTTAATCTCATTTTGATTAAAATAATCAAGTATTTGGTATATAGTATTTATTTGTACATAATCTTCGTCACCACTGTTTATTTTCACTTTTTTTATTTTTATTTTTATTTTATTTAGTTATTGCTATATGATAATACAGGAATCTCACAACCGATTGAGTATTATACCTTTTCTGAGTATTTTGATCTCAGACCTCTGAAAAATTCAGATATATAATCGATACATACCGGAATTTATTATGCTTCCCATAATTTTTTTTGGTTGTTCCGGTAATATGACGTTTTAGTCCAATACTCCTTTTTTTGTGCTATTTGTGTCCCCGTATTACAAAATGAAATCACACACAATTGTTAAAGTGTCAGAAGGAGAAGAAAAAACTTGCATATGAATTTTTGATTTTCTCTAATCAGTTCCTTATTCTTAAAATACAACTCACCATCCCTCTCAAGACACGATAGAGCCATGACAGAGCTCCTACTTGGATGTAGTTCATGGGTGCGGTCGCCCTGCCTCATCCAACAGCTTGTCTTAAGTCGGAAGTATAGCTAGAAATTTACATATAATTTTCGATAAACAAGTAGGCAATCGACCAGCACTGCCTAGAGACTGCTTAGAGATGGGCCAAAGTTTTCGAAAATTTTGTCGTCAAGTTCACGGGATTTAGAATTTGTCTTGGAGTATGATTCTGGATTCCGAAAGCGACTAAAAGTGAAACGCGCTGGAAGTCCAAGGTGTGAGGTAATCTTCGGGAAAAAAATTCAAAGACCGCACTCAAAAGGTCAAAAATCATTTATTTCTCATGAAATTTTATTTTACTTTGCTAACATGAATATATGTTGTTGGGCTCTTGATAGATTTCTTCTTCCAGACGGTGCTCGGTGTTTCTCATGCATGTCTCGGTTGTATGAAGCTGTGTGGCCGTCGTTATCGCACATCTACAAAAGGCCAAAAAATTTCACGGGTATGTTAGCTTTTTGAATTTGTGAACTGTCCAGTTTTCTATTTAACTAGCATTTTTTACACAAAATTTCCTTTCAAAAACTTTTGTGAGAATTTCGATGTCTTATATTTGTGTACGACAATTTTTTCTTCGAACTTTCGCTAGCCAAGAATCCGGTGTGACATATTGTAGAATTATCGAAAGTATTTGGGAAAACATCCTTGAGATGATGATCAGGTGTTTAGCGACTTGTCGCCGATAGAGTTCCAACAATAGAGCTCTATGGAACACATATACAAGTAATAGCAAAAGTAGCAAAATGTACACAGAACTGTCAACTGTAAGCGTCGGATACTCAACGTTTTCAGATGATTGTAACGACGATCGGTTAGTCGAGGGACGAGTACCGGCTGTCCACTGTGACACCATATGCGTCTCGATGTATGAAGCCCCAAATATTGCAGGTAAGACCCCCTCTGCAGTGGGTAGTGTCTGGAGTCCACCAAAAGACTATATGTAGTAGCATTGAATGTTTCACTGGTAATCAGTGGCCCCACCTCACTTGTGTCTTTCAAAAGGGTTTTCAAGGGTTTGAAACGGTCCAAGGGAACGATATCATTCTTCTGAATACTTCGCAGATGGTTGGCTCACAGGAATTTTCGCACCGCACTGTTTTTCCTTATTTTTACGCCACGTTAATCCTAATAATTCCTCAGTCATGTTTGGAATGCCCGCATCGATTGGAAGGTAGCCACCGTAAGCTTCCCACTTACAACAGTATTCCTGCATGAATGATCTCAGCTTTATATATTGACACCAGTATCTATAACTATTTAATATAGAGCGCTTTCTGATTCCAAAGGCGGAACGGGTTGAGAAAAAGGAAAAATGCAAGGAACAAAATGGGCCATTTTAAAAAAACCCGATGGCTTCTCTTTGGTCTTCGTTAGGTTTTCTTTTCACATAACTTTCACTGAATGGGGTTTTCTCATTTTTTAGGAGTCCGGATTGGTGGCTATATCCGTGGATGTATGAAGGACGTACTCATCAAGGGATTCAACGAGACCATTGTCAGTTGGTATCGATGGATGCAAAGAGATTCTTGTCGGCCTTATAGGTGAGTATCGATTTGGTATATGAGCAATTACTGATTGAGAACCATCGATTAGCGAAAAACAGGCCCATAATTAGGCTATTGAACTGGATTAAACAATTTCTAATGAACATGGCTGGTTTAATGCTTGGGAACAGCAGTGATGGGAGTAGTTTGTTCAATAGTGGAAGGGTTGGATACCATGCTTACAGCGTATGTGTAGAATTTCACAGAGTCTAAGTAGTAAATAGAAATTTTACATCATTACAAAGTCAGTAATTCGGTATTAGAATGCGGGTGGAATGAGGAAATCGGGCTGGATAAGGTGAACCTTCCATGAATCCACTAAAATCTCACTGTATCTGCTAATTGGTAAGATACAGATGGAAAGTCCCGAAAAACGTTAATGATATCTGCTTTGTTTGATATTCCGATCTTGACTCGCTTCAATTCGAGTTCACCTACTTTGAAGGGGCATGCTGTAGTGCTGGGATCGTTTGGTTGTCGCTGTACCGGTTCCGGGAAGCGATGGCATGGGGTTAAACATCGGGTGGAGTCAACAAGGCACTAAATGGGGCAAGAACCGTGCCTCAATCATCTTCGCGATACTTAGTTGGATCTAAAAGAGTCTGTTAAGGCCTGGATTGCTTTCTTCAAACATTTTTTCAGATTACCCTACTCATTCGAGTAGAGGGTCATCAGTTTTGCTTTTCTGTTCCCATTACTCCTTAATGTCTAATAGAAAACGAATACATGGCGCATTCCATAAGCTACTATTGCCGGTGATATCCTATCAACAGCCTTTGTCCTGTTCATTTATTCATTTCATCAAGGTGGTCGTACTGCTTCTTTCACGAGATGAGTCATGAGTAGCTCTTCTCGGCCAGTGGGTGGCATGCAGCGATGTCCGAGTGGTTAAGGAGATTGACTCGAAATCAATTGGGCTCTGCCCGCGCAGGTTCGAATCCTGCTCGCTGCGAAGCTTTTGCATTTTGTCAGATATCATTGTTAAATATTAAGATTATGAGATATTACCCAATTACCCTGCCCTTATGATTAATAAAGCCTAAATTTTCCAGTCATTAGTGGGTCACTTTCAAAGGGCTGCAATTAACGGTTTTTATGTGAGTTTAGACTCTCGAGGAGAACTTCTTTTGGTCAGAAAGTGAATAAATATCCAAAATTTATATTTAAATAATAAAAATCATTGAGTGTTGCTGCCAATATATTTATGGAAAGTACGAAAAAACTTGTATTTCAGAAAAAAGGAGCTGTTCAAGTTAGGTGGAGACCAGATCGATGAGTCCACTATCGATGTGTGTACATGTTATGCGGATTACTGTAATGGAAATTCATCGGCGACATTATCGACGTCATTGATTTCTGTTGTGATCCCCTTGATTACCATCATCTTCTTGATCCTCTACTAATTTCATCCCCTCCCTCCCCATTCAATTATCTCTGCCATCTGTAATAGCTTATTGTGATAGCTGGCTCATACTATATTGTATTTTTATATGTTATCAAAAAATGTTCGAATATTGATTAAAACGCAGACTTTACAATTTTATTGATTGACTAACATTTTTTGAATGTATAGATTGACTACTCACACTCCAGGTCCGTTCTTGTCTCCTTCTTTATTGATTTCAATATCACGGGTATTAAATGTGTCCTACGTATGAGGTTTTACCATACTCTCGTATGACATTTTAAGACATTTATTCAATTTCCAGTGTTTCAATCAATGTGGTGCTCAAAAATTGATGGAATAAATATTTCTAGAAATTATTTTTTATCCTTAGTCATAGCTAGATGTGTTGTGATGCATGGACGTGTACCTTTCCGCTTTTTTCTGATTTCTATGGGAACACATCTTTTCCCCGAACCTATTAATTGTAAGATATTTTTAGGTTAGTGCATAATTTACCAGACACAATTATTTCATTAGTTTGTAATGTTAACTATATTTATTAATAATTTTATTAACTATTTAGGGTGAAAATGTGGTTGGATGGAGGGCACTTTTTGTCTCCAATGCTAAGCGCTCGAGTGCAGAGAAGTAGGAGTTGCTGGCTTCGCTATCCCGTAATGGTTCTTGGGAGCTGTTCCCAGACAGGGTAATATAGTTTTTAGAACTATGTTCAGGAGGGAAGAACTTCAAGATGGACGAGTTTGAGATGGGGGCTCGATTGAAGATGAGATGAGGGTTCAATTGAATTCTTAGGTTTTACCTATGCCAGCTTTTGCGCGAGTGAATTATCTCACTCATCGCGATGGTCCTCCCCTTCTGAGGCTCAGGTGAGAGGCTCAGGTGAAAACTATGTTTTCTCGGGCGAGAGCCGTCTCCAAGTGCAAGTAAAGCGGCTACCACTCGTTCTCGGAGTCCGAGCGCTTAGTTTCAAAAACTAGGGATGCTACACCCTTCCCGCCTACCCCTCCAAACTATATTCTCACCCTAATTAGTTAGAATAATATGCGAGGCGGTAAGGGTTTCGAACTGGAATGTCCTCGAAATTCTCTTGTAAATCGAAACGAAATGACCGGCATTCCTTGATTCTGAGAGATTTATGCACTGACCTAACAGTAGGACAAGTATATGGCGATTTAGCCTAAGCTAATAATGCGTGGAATTAGTAAACGTGAGTTTGGTCCAGTCGGTCAAATGTCGGAAATCAGAGAACATCGATTCGATTTGTTCCGTGCGGGGTTCATACGGGCGGTTCCAGGTAGTGCCCATTGTAGCCGTTTCTCGGTGGTCTGAGGAATGCAGGCAGGAGGTGTCAAGTAAGCCAAAACTCTATCGCTGATTACTGAAATCGCATTTCGATGGTTGTTTTGAAGATACGGTCATTACTAAGAGCAGTGGTCTCGAGGAAAAGTTCGGGTGAAGCAAATCATCAGTGCCCTCTGAGGCAAGGACAACGCGACAGCCATTTCTTCATTAAAACTCCAGGTACGCTACTGGTTTATACTACTTTTTAAACAATGGGATCCTACAAGTCAGTCCAGTCCTACTGCAAGTGACTTCTGAAAGCTTTTTACTCTGGTAGGACTCTGACGCTTTTTCTTTTACTATCGAACAACACCGAATATCGGATGTGGGCAGCACTGCAAACTTCAACGGTAAGTACATGAGTGTATTTTTTCTGTTTTCATCCCTATACAAGTTATTACTTATGAACACAAAGTGCTATATTACTTCTTGGGAAAACAAGTGCATAACCAGTTCGAGGAAATATTCACCTTCACCTTTCAAAGATAGTTGCTAGAGCAGGCAGAAGAGCTATAGCCCTTTAGGCAGGTGGAAAAACCATGCGACTCGCCTAATTTCCCAATCACCGATTTAGTTAATCGTAGAATCGTTGGATTCACTTAATCATCATGCATTACCACTTTCCTCCCTAATCTCGTACGAAGGTAATCGAATGGGAGTTCATGGAACCTTTTCAAACTTTGAACGATGCCATATAAGAATGGGACAAGTGGCGCAACCCGACAGTGCGACTAGGCATTTTTCCCGTATATACTTTTATGGGATCCATGTTCCATTTCTAATATTTCTACAATGTAAAACTCTTAGAAGTCGAGTTCGTGAAACACTGGCCATGCAGTTTTCGAGAAATTAACTTAAAACTTACGACATTCGATATCACGATTTCTGTCGTAGGGGCCCTTTATAAGTGAGGTGATGCTGATTAAAAGAAGGCACTGTAGGATATAAAGCTTTTTGAGACGGGAAGGAATTTCCAGGGAAGTTCTGCAACCATGATTGAAGTGTTCGCGACTGTAGTGATTCTGTATTCCTACTGAAAAGTTGATGACTGTGTTTTTGATAAATCCTACGAATGTCGTCGCTCTTGGAACTGTACTATCGACCATTCTTGTCGAATACATAAGGGTTGTGCTTTACCCGACTGTCCACCACGTAGAAAACTCAAGCAGAAACTGTACTTCCAAGTATAAGGCATGCCAACCCTATAAGGGCTCACAAAAAGATGCAGCAATTGGACTCGCCCAGCTCACTAGATGCTACGACCATCGTAAAGTACAGTCAGATTAATTCGATAGTGTTCCCCGGTAGAGGAATAGATCGCAGAGAGAAAACAGCTGTGCAGCAGCATGCAGGAGGAACCGTTTTAGTTAGAGCATAATCTGAAATTTTCAACTTCTCTCTTTTTCCCATACTTGTACATGCCTTTGTATTTGAACTCACTATATGGGCTTAGGGACTCGGTCTGAACATGGTCGATTAGAGGGATATCGATGAACCGGCCTTGCTGCTACTACTACCATACCATTTTCTGCGATAATGATTGTAGAGACTTCCATCGGAGGGTTTCTTAGGAACTAGCTTTTTTTTCTTTTGCTTATTTGAAAATACAGTGGGTAAAAAGTAACGGAGAGGTACCGAGGAGAAACCTTTCACATACCTTCTTCACGTGAGAGCATCTCTCATTGTCAGTTATAACTCTCATCTGATCGAGCCATCACTGTGAAGTTTGTTGTTACATGCTAGAATTCCATGCCCGCATATACCCTGTTGTTAAAGAGTTGACTAGAAGGCTGGACTCACGTGATGTTATGAATATTACAAGTATAACCTACAAACATTTGCCAAAGTTTACGGTATTACCAACCAGTTGAATACTGTTCAAGGGTGTAAGTTATTTCCCAGTAGTGTCGCTTATTTATCCAACATTCATAATCCATGATTTTGGTTTGCAGACCGTCTTGAAGGGATCCCAGTTCATCTATATCACCTGCCATTCCACTAAGCATCGATTCGGTTCAGAAATCCTGTTATTAACAGCCAGGATCCACCATTCAGGAACAGCATTACTCATCTGGCTGTCATGATCCTTGATTTCTTGGCGTGGGTAGCAGCGTAACTCAAGGCTCATCTACTAAGCTATGAGTTCCGAATTATCGTTCTCCCAGATCCACTTGTAGTTGAATTTTCAGCTCTAATGTAGTCTGTGAGAACACCTTATGCTGTTGCATATCATTTGCCTTCTGCCAATGATGGCGTTGATATGGTTTCATTTTTCCCATGCTGCTCAACATGATCGATTAGGCTCTTCGTAGTTGATAAAATTTAAAAATTAGTTACTCGGCTAAGAGATCTCGGATTTGAGTTTCTAGAGCGTACTGAATCTTGTTGCGATGTGGCGCACGACGACAGGACTCTTGACGTGTGAGCTACGGATTGGAAGCTGCCGAACAGCTCCGAGTTCGTGAGAGAGCGGATTGCTTTGAACTTCAGCCGAATTGCGCAATTTATCCGAGACTGGTGAGAAACGACTTTATCGACTGCTGGTGTTCCAGCACAGTAGCCTTCTTTGGAACTCTAATAATTGAGACCTTAGTTAATAAAGACTAAAAAGTTAAAACTCATTTTTGTGATTTGAGAACAGGACCAAGTGCGCAATAACGGGATGCCTGCCGTTCTCTTTTAAATAAAAAATATTAGCTTGAGCAGAAAGCTTTAATCGATTCTTCATCTTGATTTCGAAAGCTTTTGTCTTCGTTAAAAAGGGATCTCAATAAGTAACATAGTCTCCATCGTGGTCCACGAATGAGCAACGATCCGTCGGTTTTTCGATTCCTGAAGCCCATACTGAGGCGACTGCGATTCGGGAAAGCTAGTAGTCTCACTTTCGAGGTCCGAGGTTTATTGCGTTCCATGACCAATCTGAGAGCAGCGGGATTTCGGGGACAAACTAATCTGTCTGCCCTTAGGTAGGTAACCAATACCCTATCTTACGGAATATGGCGGGTTTCACCGGTAAACCTCTAACATGGTTCGCGCAACGACCCTTCGAATTCGGCGGCGAGAATTAAAACAAACACAAACCTAATATGTACTAATCAAGCCACTATGCTTGGATTAGCAAAGTAGACAGAATTGCGGGCTTTAAACGTAGTGTAGCCGTAAACGAGCTAAACGAAATAATAGTACATACTGAACCCTAAGGAATTTCAGTCTAGCCCATTCGCTGCGCGAGCTAGTGGAATTCAACTGGATTGGTCAGACTTTGTCAAATTGAGACATTCTGAAAGATAAGCTAGCAATAGTTTGTTAAGAATGGGTGTTCTTGTGAATCGTGTTCATCGAGAGCCGATATTTAGTGCCACCTTCTTTAACAGGTGACAAAACTTTCTCAGCCTGTGCAACACTTCGTTAGGCTTTGGAAAAATATTGACCTCTAAAGAGTGATAATGCTAGCACAACATAGATTGAGTTGATTGAAGGCCATGAATCGTTGGCACCATTAAGCCAAATTTGCCGAGTCATAACTTACTTACTTATACGGCTCGTCTTCACTCATGTGCGAGCACCAGCAACAAACCAGCTTCGCTTCTGTCTTTTGCGATCGCCATCCACGGTAGACTCAGGATTCGACGACTATGGCGATGTGAGAAGTCG